GAGACCACCCGAGACCACCCGAGACCACCCGAGACCACCCGAGAGTTCTCCCGGGGTTCTCCCGGGGTTCTCAGGGGGTTCTCAGGGGGTTTTCCCCTCCAGGTTCCCCTTCTTCTCGACGCGCTTTAAAGGCAACCCACCCGGGTTGACCCCCCTCCAGGGGGACCCCCGCCCCCGCACATTCCGCCGTTGCACATTCCGCCGCGGCACATTCCGCCGTTGCACATTCCGCCGCTGCACATTCCCCCCCACAATGAAGAAGTTCTCACCCCGAATTCCGCCTCGGAAGACCCCGTTTCGCCCTCAAAACAAATATTTTTGGGGGGCCCCCCGCCCCCTCCCCCCCCCCCCCCCCCCCCGACTCGCGCGCCGGAAGAAAACAGACGGAGAAACGAAACGCAATCACGCTCCCCGCGCAGGTTCAAGCGCGAGCTGGCCCCATGTCTCCCCATATCTCCCCATATCTCCCCATGTCTCCCCATATCTCCCCATGTCTCCCCATGTCTCCCCATATCTCCCCATGTCTCCCCATGTCTCCCCATGTCTCCCCATGTCTCCCCATATCCCCCCATATCCCCCCATATCCCCCCGCGCAGGTTGCCAAGCGCGAGCTGGCCGCTGCCATCCCTCTGCTGCGCCCCACACGCAAGATCTTCGCCGAGGTGCCATCTCGCCGAGATAGCCGAGATGTCTGTCTAGCCGAGGTACAGCCGAGGTACAGCCGAGGTGCAGCCGAGGTGCAGCCGAGGTACAGTACAGCCGAGGTGCCGCTCTCACCTCTTCACCGCAGTCCTCGCCCGTGTCTCGGCCACCACCCCCTTCCTCTCGGCCATACCTCGGCTCTTCCCCCCCCCTCTAGGTCTCACCCGTGTACGCGCCGCGCGCCGACGCGGCGAGCAGTGGCGTGTGCGTGCTCGGCTCCTGCGATGAGGCGCCGAGATCGGCCCCTCTCTTCCACCTCACGCGCCCCGCCCCTCTCTCACACCTCACCCGCCCCGCT